CCCGAATATTTTTTAATTTTTTATGATGCTCCGATAAGAAAACTTCAGGTTACGAAAAAAATTAGGGCGTAGGCACAACGACAATGACATTCATAACGCGAATTGAGTGGAGGTATAATCCGTATCTTATAATTAATTGTTTTTGTCTTTAATGCTGTCTTCTTTTTTCCGTGCATAGAGAATAATGTCATTCGAAGAAATGTTCTGGAAATACTGTGTTCTTATGGGTTTTGTCTCATGGGGGGAACTTTGCCTACGTAACTGTGGTAAAATAAGCTTCTAAAATTTGGAAAATTTAGTGATTTTGTCGTAACACGTAAACAGTTTTAGATTAAATACTTGGTGGATAAGTTTCAATTGGATGCTTACAAGGGCCGCCATCTTAGGTAAATCGTGGCATTTTTCGATTCGAAAACCAATCATGTTCGACGCACACACACGTGACCTCACTTACAGGTATCCAATTGGATACTTTCACTTCAAGAAGAAATAGATCACTAATATCCAGACATGTGATCTATCACCTCAGCACCCATCTGATAGTTTATAATCAAGATGGAATGTTAAAGTTGAGCTGAGTTTCTCGACTTAAGTTAGAATGTTAATTAACGTGAAGTTAATTAAATACAACGCTNTGTGGGAACATGGAGGACTTTGAGACTCGACAGATTTAACGTTCATCAGTCACCATTTGCTACACAGGGAGTCTTCGGCCGGCGAGGATCGAACCCACGACCTCTTGGATATGGGCCCAGTGCCCTACCGACCAGGTTATCCCGGTCCTCCATCTGATAGTTTATAAACAAGATAGAATGTTAAAGTTGAGCTGAGTTTCTCGACTTAAGTTAGAATGTTAATTAACGTGAAGTTAATTAAATACAACGCCGTATCGCACAAAAATGTTTCTGAAATATAATAATTTCTGTTCAACGTTTCTTACTTAGATTATTATTTGTTTATGTATTTTATTGTAACACGTGATATATTTTTGTTTTGTGTACCTAGCAGCTTCGATGCATAATTTAGTTTGTTTATGTTCTACATGTCTTCGTGCCTATCTTTGTGTTAAGTAAGAAATATTCAATGAAAGAATTGAAATCTTTGTGAGAGAAAAGGAATTTTTTACTTAAGAGAATTGATACTTGACGGGCTTGGCTTTATCGAGATAGAACGGCAAGAACAGTTGATAACGTAAACAAATTCCACGTTTCAACAAACAATCAGGATCGAGATATCCACACTACGTCACTTATCTAACTTATTGTCAATCTATATCAAGATTATCTAAATAATCTATATCAAGATTATCTAATTAATCTATATCAAGATTATTTAATTAATCTATATCAAGTTTATCTAATTAATCTATATCAAGATTACCTAATTAATCTATATCAGGATTATCTAATTATTCTATATCAAAGTTATCTAATTAATCTATATAAAGGTTATCTAATTAATCTATATCAAGATTATCTAATTAATTTATATCAAGATTATCAAATTAATCTATATCAAGAATGTCTAATTAATCTATATCAAGATTATCTAATTAATCTATATCAAGATTGTCTAATTAATCTATATCAAGAATGTCTAATTAATCTATATCAAGATTATCAAATTAATCTATATCAAGATTATCTAATTAATCTATATCAAGATTATCTAACCAATCTATATCAAGATTATCTAATTAATCTACATCAAGATTGTCTAATTAATCTATATCAAGATTGTCTAATTAATCTGTATCAAGATTATCTAATTAATCTATATCAAGATTATCTAATTAATCTATATTTTTATAGGATAAACTGCTAAATACGTGTTTTGCCTTAAACACGCGAAAAGGCATGCAAATAAATAATAAATAAACAAATAATAAAGCAAACAAATAATAAATAAAAATTGAAATTATTATAAGCTTTGTTTATTGTGTTGGAACAAAGGGCTTTCAGTTTTGTGCATGATTTAAGTGTTATTTAGCACTGATTTTAAATTATTTACCTTTTTTTCGCCTGTTCGAAGAACATGAATTCAGATAGTATACTTATGGGACAACAGAATTCACCAGACAAATATTAAAGAACAACCTTTTTATTTTTGTAGTTTTTTTGTATCTCTTTCTAAAACAATAATTTTCTCTTTATTTAATTCTGTTTCATAATTATTAACTTTCTTATGGGAAAACGATGGACATTAGATAATTATTATGGGGCAGAAATAGTTTGTAATTGGGTTTTAAAATTTTGAACTAAAATAATAAATGCGTTATTTTTTTTTTCACGTTTTGTTGAAGCCTAAACTTTGAAATCACACCTAAGTTTTTTTTTTGTATTATAATTTTTATTCAATATTTTTAAAATATTCTTAAATAGAACTTTACTGATATTTAGGACTAAGAATTTTATAATAATCCTTAGTCTTAAAGTCTATTTATTAATTCAATTGTAGTGGAAAGCAAGGCTGAAAACAGATTTTACTATCCTTAAAACGAAATTCATTGCAGATTCCTTCCTCAAAGCACAAAAATCGTACTTTCAGATTATGCAGAATTTTTGAGAACAATTTATTAAAAACTGTAGCTTTTATATAGATATAAAAAGAATCTCGTTAATTTTCTTTAAAAAAAAACTAATTTAAAAACGCAACATTTTTGCAAGAAAATTTAGTTGAGCTCTGGGACAATTGTAGTCCCCGTCCCCTTGTGTATGACCTTAGTGAAGAGCAACTGAAACTAATAGTAATAAGACAAAATATATTTTAATATAAAATTCAAACATGTCGTTTTTAATCCGTTGAAATCCAACAAAAACGAAGTCCAATTCGAAGCATATTATTCAGTTAACATATTATTCTAATTCGTGAAGTTCGAAACATAAAAAGGAAGATTAAATAAATGCTTTATCCATGCTATCATGTTTATGTGTTTGTTTATTATCGAGCCCTAAATGAGGTACATGATTAGTTCAACGCCCTATCGAAATTACCAACATGACCAATTCTTCTGTCATCGTCTGGGTTCATCTGAAAATTTTCCAACGAGAAAAGCATCGTTTGAGATCACATAGGGGGCTGTGCCAGTAGACAAATTAATAATTCATTCTTTGCAGGAGTTAAGGGTGTGGTCTTTAACAAAAGATTTTTGGCTTTTCCAGAAGTTCTTGTTCATTTTTCTTTCAAAAAACACCTCTATTTCTTTAGAGTGTTTCATTTATTTATTTATCACAAAAAGTTCATTTCTAGAAATTTAGTTGTTTAAGAGAAGAATTTTTTAATCTTTTGAAAGATAATACACGAATTATAACTTCTTCAAATGTATTTAAAATCATTAAAAAAATCAAAAACAAAATAATATTTTTAAAAACCACGTTTTTGTAGTGGAGAATAATAATTAGAAAACAAGAATTTGAAAAACGAAAACCGTGGGGTGCATGAAATACATAACAGTAACAGTATGTGTTCTCATGAGAATATGTGTATGTATATCTGTAATTGTATCTGAATGTGTATGTGTATGTGGATGTGTATGTGGAATATGTTTGTGTATATGCATGTCTATGTGGATGTATATGTGTATGTGGTTGTGCATGTGTATGAGTAAGAAAATATGTATATGTATATGTACTGTTATGTATTTCATGCGCCCCACGTTTTTTGTTTTTCAAATTTTTGTTTTTTAATTATTATTCTCCACTACAAACACGTGGTTTTTAAAAATATTATTTTATTTTTTATTTTTTTTTGTACTCACTTCCAAAATCTAAATTTTTTCACTCACTGTCACAAAACTTTTCAACTGACATGTGACACTAATTTGAAATAATTGAATCGACAACAAAAGACAATCGCGAAAATACTAATTTTGATTTAATTTTAATTTTATTTTACTTTGTGTGTTCTTTTTCTCTTCATTTTCATGCATTGTCATCCAATTCTGAACTATGTGCTAAATTTGAAGTCTGTAACTAATCGGGAAGTTAGTTTAAAATCGATTACAAAATTCCACCCGAACACACATACACGAAGGCAAGTTGGCAAACGTGGTAAAAAGTAAGACTTTTACGTAACAAGTATCATACAAATAGAAATACACTGTGTTTGCTGTGTATAAAATTGTAAATTTAATCGAAAATTGTGAAATTAGGAAATAATTCATGTAAATATTTGTTTTATAATTCTTCCAATTATTTTTAATAATTCTTCCACATTTGAAGTTTAAAATATTGTTTAAATACTCGAACTGTTTGTTTGATCTTCCTCCTTTATTCAAACTGCTATTATTTATATATTATTAATATTATGTGACTATTGTTTTTTTTATGAAGGAATACATTTATACTATGCGTTCTGCTCCATCTCGTTTCTTCCTCCAATCCCCACGAATACTGCATTCTTTCTTCAGTTTATCTGTGAGAATAGATATTACATTGAAAACTTTTCCATTGAAAGATCCCAACATATTTTATACTATTTACACATATTTGGTTTCAATGATTTCGCTCCTGATTTTATTATGATGAAATATATGAATCATTTTACTCGGTTACCATTGCAACTTCAGCGATGATTTTGTTTTCTTTTAATGAAAATTTAAATTTTGGTTGAAATAAAAAGGTGTTAAATGCTTTTTTTTTTTCAAAGTATTTCTTATTGTATTGCAAAAAACGGGATTCTCAATACTATTTTACATCTTTGTATTAATTATTTTATTTGCATATAGTGACTGGATACGTTTTAAATGAAGCTTATCATAACAATTAAAACTTATTTACTCTTTATTAATTATAAAATGGTTAATTAGTTTAGATACAGATTTAAATTTGTTTATCATGGGATAGTATTACTGGAGTGCTTTATAATAACATTAGTATTTTTAACATATATTTTTATTTTTTTACCTATTTACTTAGTAATAGGAAATTTTAAGTGTTTCTATACATGGTAGTAATTCAAAAATATGCAATTATAATAAGGAAGCCAAGTGGACATCAATCTTTAGCTGAACTCGACACTTTTATTTAGATACTTTATTACAGCATATATACATGTAAAACATTCTTACAAACGCATAGGACAGCGCGAAAAATATGCAAAATTGTTTAGAATTTCATAGATTTTAATTATGTTAAGCTCTCTATATTTTGTTAAATAGTAATGCTTTTAAAAATTCAATTTTAAGCCATTAACTAGGAATAATAATCAAAATCTAGAGCATAATGGTAAATGATGATAAATAAATATTACAAGTGAATAAATTTTTGTACGTAAGCATATGCCATGGATAGGAGGCGCTGTCGTTTGTCAGCTGTTGATGCCTGCAAGGGGCTGTTGCGCTGCCAAAGAAGAAGAAGAAGTTGTAGCATCTCAAATTAAAAACTCTTTCTATAAATATATCTTGAAAAATGTGTACATTGTGAATATATGACTTATTGAGGATATATTTTTTCTCAATTAAGGTTGAACCTGTACCACCAGATGGTTGCAACACGGGTACCACATTGGTTATTCCTCCTCCTGATGACTGGATGGAGGTGGAAGTCATTATGGGATTCAGAGTATGGCAGTTGATGTTCCTCGCTTTAGCTGGGCTCATAACCCTAAGTATGGAGTTAAGAAAATCTTTATTTTATTAAAAAAAATATTTACCCATTGAAAAACGTCATCAGTAGTTCAGTTTCATTTAAAGTCCGTTAAAATTAATTAAAAGCATTCGATTATGTGGTAATATAGGAAGATTTAATTAATAATGATGAGGATTAACAATATATAGTAATTTATATAATTACGAGCAGTTTTATAAGTCTCTCTTGTAAAAAAGCACATTATTTATAAAGTTATCTGCGTGAACAGTATGTAATTTCAGTTTGGGTAATTGTGATATTACTATTTTATTGTCATTTGTAGCAAACAAAGCAATATGATATAACGCGAGTCACTTTTTCTGTAGGTTTCAAATTTTTCGACTGAATCGCCTAACAGTTTGTTTCTGTAATAAAATGTCATTATTACGAGAAATATAGGATTGTCCCAAAAAATATAACGCACGCAGCGGCGCTCTTCTTTCCTGTTCTGAAATTTAAATTTTAAGATAATTTTATGTCCCAAAACTCATCGAAAAAACTACACTGGTGGACAAAATTAGGAGATGGAAAGCATTTTCGCACATTCATTCGCACATGCAAGATACCCGCACACCGCTCCACGTGTTTGACAATGGTTCCGTTAACGCCTAGAGGTACAGGCAGGAGGTCCTAGAGCCCTATGTGCGTCTTTTCAGGGGCGCTGTTGGCCCTGAGTTCATTTTTATGAACGACAATGCGCGACCACATAGGGCTCTCATGGTTGATGAGTATCTGGAAAGCGAGGATATTCAACGAATGGATTGGCCAGCCAAATTCCCTGACCTGAATCCTATTGAACATGCTTGGGATGCTCTTGGGAGAGCTATTGCGATGCGCCAACCTCCCCCCAGAACCATTCTGGAGTTAAAAATTGCTCTAGTGGAAGAATGGGAGGGTCTTTTACAAGTCCTCCTTAACTCCCTTATTAACAGCATGCATACTCGTTGTTCATGCTGTCTGTCTGTCAGAGGTGACCATACACCATACTAGAGGCAACACACACTGTACAAGCCTCACTTTTACTGTCATCTTTTATCCTTAAGTTCAGACTACATTGGATTTATTGGCAATAGGTCTTGCCAGTGAATGGCACTTTCATTTTTGTTTTGCATACTTTATTATCATGGAATAAGCTATATCTATACCAAATTTCATTTATTTATATTCAGTATTTTTTTAGATATGTGGGAAAATGTCTTCCATCTTTTAATTTTGTCCACCAGTGTATTATAGTGTTAGTTTTGTTAGAAAAGTATATTGCACAGGTAGTGAGTGTTAGTTTTGTTAGAAAAGTATATTGCACAGGTAGTGAATAATTACTTTTTATCAATAGAATTAAAAATTAGCGTCTGCTAACTTCACTGTTCTCCCGTTTTGAGAAGTGCCCAAATACAAACAAACATTTTGTTATATGTATAACAATACAGATTTTTAATAAATTAATTAGTCCACAAACTTATTTAAATATTCATTTTCAGTTGTGATATTGTGCTGTTTCATGAAGTGCAGAGTGCCAAGAACAAAACAAGAAATTGAAGCGGATTTCAAAAGACGAGAAATAACTAGACGCTTTAGATTTCTACTGGATCGCGTACAAATTGAAGACAACAGTCTAAGAACAGGTATGATCCCTTTCTGCGTGTTTTAAGTATGTAGATTCATTTTAATTATAAAAAGAAACTTTTTCTAGATACACTGTAAACAATTTGTGATCAAATCAGGGTAAAAAGAATTGGTACTCAAGGAGCCGGTATTTTTTGACCGTAAAATCCATTCTTACCGGAACATGTCAAGGAACAAAAAAACTGATATACCGCAATTTTGCAGCAATATTAACTGTAAAATCATTGATTCTCTCTAATTAAATAAATATTACCGCAAAAAGTATGGTATTAAATTTTTGTAAAAAATGGATTTTACGGTAAGATGGTTTTTACGGATGATGCACACAAAATGTCAGTACTTTATACGGAAATTTGAACCGGAAATTTTTACAGTGTAGTTGCACCATGAGAAAGTTAATAAACTAAAAAATATGCTTAACAACAAAAAAAAAAGGTTCATTTTATGAAGGGTCGAAATGAGTTAGTTGATAGTTTAAAATCCATCTTTCGAGAATTAAGGGCTTAATCGAAACCTCGATGGTGAATAGTAATTAATGATTAAAATATAAATTATAATATTTCTGATGTTTTGAAAGGAAGTTTTCAGAATTGGCCTTACTTAAGAAATGGGTAGCAACATAATTTAACAAAGAGCCAGGCAATAATTTTAATTATTGCAAATTACGAAGATTTTTTAGTTAACTTAGTAATTTGCACAAACAAAATGAAAACACCTTCTCCAGTTTGTACGCTAATGTGAAGAATATGCTTAGCAACAAAATAATAAATAAGTAATATGATATAATAAAAAAGTTAACGTAATATTATAAGCTCTATTATATTCGCCATATTAATCCGTCAATTCGAAGTTAATTTTATTAATTTAACTTTCATTTTTTAAAATTTTATTTGGGGTAAATTTTTTTAAGGAATGTTAGGCGTGTTTGATATTTGTTATTTCAATAACACAAACATGTAAATCTTTTACGTGAATGTTACGTACTTATTGTATTAGAATAAATTTTTTTTATAAAATTTTTAGAATTAATTTTTATAGGAGCGATTGAATCTCTTGCTTAAATAGGATTTTTGAGTCATTTGAGTATCCAACATAGATTTTGAATAATTTTCTCAAATTAAGCTCTTTCTACATAAGATAGTACAAAGATGATTTTGAATGTTTCTATTGCAATAAATTATTTTCCTAAATGCCCTGAAATGTTTTATTTATTTATTTATTTTAAAAAAGATATCATTTCATGAGAGATTGAAAAGCAAAATCAATTGCTTGAGAAAATAATTCTATAAATGACACCCCTCTTATGTCTTCCAATTTTATAATTTTGGTTTTGAATAAAATATGATAAGCACTTTCATGTTATAAATTGTTCCACAATAACATTTTTCAAGTCAAAGGAAATTTAAAAACTTGTTTTAACAGGTGTTTATAAGAAAATGTAAACGTAAACTCTATCGATAATTTCTTAAAAAATATTTTTGTTTTCCATACATTAATATTTATTGAAAAATTTTTGTGCAAAATTTCTGATCTTTTTTCATCTTATTTTATTTTTCTATAAACAAACTTTCCTGATTTAAAATTTGAGAAGTACTTGAAAATAGTCTTAAGTTGATGCTGTACATTTTGAGAACAAAAGTACAGCATCAACTTAATAATTAATTTGTGAATGCGAGTAGTAGTGGATTTCGCCAGGAAAGAGAGTGGAATAAAAAAATAAGTAAAACCAATAGTACCTTGAGAAAAAAGTATGGTCTAAGTTCTAGATTATGATAAAATTTGCCGTGTTTCTGGCTCTAAGAGAACACCAAAAAGTACATATGTGTTTGGCTCTATGGGTTACTTTTACCGAAGCGCTTTGGTAATGATTTTGATAAAATTAACAATGAACATGATAGAATTTGATAAATGTGCTAAATTTTGGTTATTTTATCCTGTTACTTTAGAACAAGGTATAAAAATAATTTATTCGGTTACATTTATTTTTCTGTTTTCTATTTTTTACTAAATGTGTGGTTATAAGAACAATAATTTTGAAGACTAGAATTTCTGGTAAACCATTACCATATGAACGAAAAAATTGCCAAATTAACGGATTAAATACCGTACATTTTGATTCCTAAAAAAAACCCAAAATTATGTTGTTTTTTTTTACCAGAAATGTTATTACTATATAGTTTGGTAATTTTACCAGAAATGTTTTCTCCATTCTTTAAGCAAACCATTAGTGAAATAAAAATGAAAACAATTTTATTCTATAAACCTATATTTATGTTGAAACTAATTGATTAGGGAGTAAAAAAATAGGTTAAATATGTTTTTTTAAAGGTCGATTGGGGAAGTAGTAAATTTACACAAGTTTTTATGAATTAAGAATAAAATTAATTTATCGATTGACATTTAGTGCTAAGAAATTTCAAAACTAGATACATAGTTGAAAAAGGTTTTTCATAAATATAGCAATTCTTTTTATGTGTCATGAGCTTTACAAAACCCTGAAATTGCACTATAGTATTAAATTTTGACGTACTTACAAATTTTTAACTTATTTTTTGCCAAAATAGAAGAAATTTTGAAACCAACGGTTTAAACTTCCGCTTTAAATACTGTATTTTGGTTAAAATTAATATATATTTTGATGCAAATCATTATTCTTAATTTTTGTTCCTTCGCAATTACATAAAATAAACACTATGTTTCAAATGTATAAATAATAAAAACTGGAATTTGTTTGCAATACATATTTTCACTCATGATGGTATATTTTATTAATTTCAGCTATTGAAAAGGTGAACGAACTCTACACTAATCGTGAAAAAATGAAACGTCGTAAGAAGAAAAAGATAGAAGACGAGGAGGAGATAATATCACAAGGCAGCAGCTATCTTTTTGAGGACGAAAAATTAACTATCAAAGAAAAAATTAAAAAACTACTTGGTTTGCTAGATGAAGAAGCTTCAGATATAGATTCAATGAAAGAGACAACCGATAAAAGCGAAGAAGTGTTTAAACGTAGTACATCAGTTGACGACGAGCTTTCTTCATTGCCAGATATCAAAATTATAGATTCTATGAAAAAACAAACGTCAGAAGAATCGTCTGATTCACCAAAGTTAGGTGAATCGAAAGTGTCTCTTCTGCTTGATTCTCCTGCCAGAACTCATGACACACTTTCTAGATTGTCATTTCTACAAGATTCTCCACCCCAACAAGTCCTGTCACTGCTACAAGACACACCTCCAGGCAAGAAGTTTTCGAGCAAAAAAACGGATTCGCAAGAATCTCACGATTCTGAGCAGTCAATCAAGAAACAAGATTCATTGGATTCTGACAAAAGTCCGAGAGTGTTGTTGAAACAGCAGAAATCCGATTCGCAAAGTTCAGACGGGGAGAAATTATTGAAGAAGTGTAAATCCGATTCACAAGAATCTGGAAACGAAAAGAAACAAAAATCTGATTCCCAAGATTCAAATGATTCGGACATCGTGTACTCTAAACCGAAGATCAAGAAAATTGTTGAGCTGCAAGGATCAAAACTTTCCCGTAGAGAGTCCGTTAGTGGTGACTCGGGTGTCGGATCTTTCCAGAAATGGCGAAAATCGACAAAAAACCAATCCGATAATGATTCCAAAAATACTCAATCCTTAGATGTTAATATGGGCTCATAGAAATTCTAACATTAAGTGACTGTGCCGTCTAGCTATCACGAGAACTCTTTCCAACTGTAAAATCATTTCTAAAGTAGAAAAACTGAAGATAAAATATATGATTCTCTTTACCTTAACCAATGCGACATAACGTTAACCCCACACGCCTATTCCAAGTGATTAATTTTCGTCACCACGGTTACCGTCAAAACGCGAGTCTGGTGTCTCAAGGAGTTCTCGTGATGGCTCGAAGGCATATGAATATATATTCTGCAATCACTATCCTTAACGTTTATTGTTATTGATCAGGGTCAAGGTTTAAGACAATAGGGATTGTATACGTACAGTGCGAAAAAAAAGTTTTTTTTCTTCCCCGATTGAATTTTGGCGTTTTAGGACTCAATATTAATGGCTCGAAGGGGTGACTTCAAATATGCCAATTAATAAGTGCAAAAGCTACGAAATCAAACTCGAAAACGTACTTTCTCTGATTAAACATGCAGCTTTTTCGATGGATTCGGATTTTTGACCGCAATCTGGGAAATATGGTCCCAATAATTTGGTCAAGAGAATACTCAAAATATTGAACCCCATAATTTAATTTAACTTTTTGCATATTTATATATATCTCGAAAACTATTTTAGCGAATTAAATTTTTTTTTTACACACAATTATAAAATTCGCTTATCCGAACATGAAAAAATTAATTTTAGTAAATATAGATTATTTTTTATTATTTTATTTAAGAGTGAACGAAAACATTCTGAATCGTAAGGTATGTAATTTTTTGCATCATTTTAAAGAATGTGATTTTACATGGCAAAATACAAAATTTGAATGAAATTGGTAGAATAGATCCTGAAAAATTAAATTTCAAAAAAGTCGGATACTTAAAATTTGATTTCTCAGGAACTATTTGACAGCAATTCTGATACATGATATTCAAAAGTGATTCAGAGTGGTCCGTTTATTTCGCGCACTGTGCATTTAAATTCGGAAAAAATCTTAACGAAATTTGAGGAAACATAGTCAATATGAATCATTTTAGGGGTATAAAAAGTATCGACAATGTCATCTTCGACAATGACAATGATACTCATTACAAATATGTATGTGTAAATAACAAGGACGGTGTTAGTAGCTCTTTAAATTAATTCTCTCTTTCCCAGACATTATGCATTTTTGAATTTAAATCTTTTTATTATGGCATTGAGATAGCACGCTATAATTTGTTCACTGAAATATTTGAAATGTTATCTTCATATTTACAATGCATTTTCACATTTTAATAGGACAAATATATTCTTTACTCTATTATAGTAATTTAACGAAAATTTCTTCTACAATTGAGAAAGCTATTCCTAAAACGAGCTGAATGATATGCATCACTATTTAATTCGTTATTTAATTTAAAACTAAATAAGAAAAATCTTAATGCAATTCTGAGATAAAATATTATATGTGAGGAAAGATATGCATTTATAACGAGGAAATGAGCATTTAAAATGCAATTATTCTGCTACTGTTACAATTTCATCTCAAACAAATTATAACGTACACTGTCAAATGTAACTGTTTCGGTAAAATAAGTTTCATAATTGAAGGGTTTGAAGCAATATACTAATAAACTGCTTTTCCCTAGGATGACATTTTTATACTAAACTGTTTATTAATGTTTTCAGATAGGTCTTTTATAAAGGTATTCAAGCACTTTCATGAGTTAACTGTTAACTGTAAACATTTTACTACTAACCACATTACCAATAAAAAGAAATATCTTCAAAATGTACGGTATCGTTTTACTGTCTCTTGCATTTAAAATAATCTGAGATGAATAAAGTACAGCGCGCCAAAAGAAAAAAAAGAAACGGACCACCCTGAATAGTTGTTCTAATGATCGGATCTTGACGTTTTAGAACTCGATCTTAAAGGTTCGAGGGGATAACCTCAGATATTAATTAGTACAGGCAATATATCAAGTTACGAAATCTGACTCAAAAAACGTACTTTCCGCCAATAAACATGTCTTTTTTCTGCAGATTCGGATTTCTAAGACTCAGGATATAGGGGTAGCCGCAATTTGGATAGCATGGTTCCCATATTTTGATAAGGAGAGCGATCCAAAGATTGGACTCCTTAATGAAAATTTTAGTTTTTCGGTATTTCGCCACATCTGAAGAAATTTTTAAGCGAATTGAAAACTTTTTGCACACAATTATAAAATTTGTTTATCCAAAGATAATTCCATGCAAAAAATGAGTTTTAGTAAGTATTTATTTTTTTTAATTTATTAAATAACAGTCGAAAAACTTTTGAATCGTAAGGTATACAATTTTTTACGTCATTTTAAAGTATGTAACTTTACAAGACAAAATACGAAATTTGAGAGAAATCGGTTGAATAGTCATTGAAAAATCGAATTTCAAAGTCGTCGTAGACTTAAAACTTGTTTTTTCAGGAACTTTTCAACCACTTTCGTTTAAATTTTGTATTTTTCCATGTAAAGTTACGTAAATTAAAATGACGTAAAAAAATTGAATACCTTACAATTCGACAATTATTGAATGAGATAATAAAAAATATTAAATATTACTTAAATTTATTTTTCGCGCGGAATTATCATTGGACAAATGAATTTTATAATTGTGCGCAAAATTTTTTCAATTCGCTTAAAAAGTTTCAGAGATATGGCAAAATACGCAAAAAATATAACTACTATTATGAGGCCCGAACTTTGAACCGCTCTCCTGATCAAATTACTGGGACCAGGAAGTGCACAAGGTTTTGCTGGTAAGTGGAACCCAGTTTAAGGTTCTTTCTCAGGATTTAATGGAATCCTAAGAAATGAAATAAATCTTATTTTAGATTTATTTTTCTTACAAATAATATGCATTTTTTGTTCGTATTTTGAAAAAGTCCAAACAAAAGTGCAATGGAAATTCTTTTTTAATTAAAAAATATGTGCACGCATCAAATTTATTTCATTCACCATTACATAAATATCATGTTTTTCCCGCTCCGTTTTTCTAAACAAAACTATGATTTTTAAAATTAGTGTATACATCTATTTTTATTAGTATCACAAGCGCTAAATGTAAATTTTAATGTCAACAAACTGTTTTAATAAAGTAGACCAAAGATACTGAAATTGGGACGTATTTTTCGACTAATTAGATTAGAAATAGGAAAATTGAATGTAATTTGTAGGTAGCGGCTTCAATACAAAATAAAAAAGAATTTGTGTCAAAATGTGTACAAAAATAATATGTAAACATTTCAAGATAATGGCAAGATGTATGCATCTTAAATCAAAATTAATCTAATTAGAATTTCTTTTTGTATAAAACTTTCAACTAATTATAGCGAAAGCACATACTTTTTTTTTAATCTTGAAGTTCAAATTATTTTTATGTAAAATAATCTTGAACTTTAAATTGTTTTTAAATAAAATATTTTTAAAAATGTAATGAGTTAAGTATGCAAGCATTAGTTTCGATAGTTTATGAATTAAGTTTTTTAATAATAAAATCTGAAACACAAAATTTAGTACTTTCAAATATGTAATTTATTCTGATTTCTTTCTTTTTATTAATTATTCTTTCATTAATTTATTCTTCTTCTGGATATTCTGAAATATCGTGTAAAAATTTCTAAAAATAAGGAAAAATCAAGTTTTGCAAACAATTATATCATTCTTCAAATTATCTTAGATCACATTTTACAGTTCAATTTTGCACTTGTCCTCTGAAACTAATGCGTAATTTATCTTTAATAATAGTCTTGAAATTTCGTACTTGTTAGTTTTTCTGTGTAACAAACTAAAGTCCTAGATTACTTAGTACCCAAGGCGTTATAACAAACTACTTTCTCCAAACTAGAGGAAATGTATTGTGCGTAGGAAAAAATTTCGCACGAAATTGCCAAAACTTTTAAACGCTGTTAGAACTCTCTTCAATTTTGTAATATTGTATGCAATAAAAAACATTAGTTGCATGTATTAAAACAAATAGATTATACAGATATTTAAAGTACATGTTATTATGTACTAATTAATATAGATCTTAAAACAATTACAGTTTCTAGAACACACAGTCTGTTTATTTGCATCTATTTATCATTTTGTCAGTTTATTGCTCATAGTTTTCGCATTTATCATTGTTTAGTTTTAATTCCAAATATTATTTCTGATATTCCTTACCTGATTAAATTGTGTAACTTTTCATTGCCCAATAGAAAACATACACTTTTCTTTCAACAGATTTTTTAATATAAGATAATTGATTTTATTCTCTAATAACATTAAGAGGTAGTTAGTTATATTTGCATTTTATTAAAAAAATTTCCAAGGGATTCAAGTACTACTTTTTATTACATTACTTGATTACAAATGTATCGCAAATTGTGAAGATATATTATAAATAAAATTTGCAACAACATTGCTTTATTTCATTGACTATCTGCAGTCGCTTATTATATTTGAATTAAGAAGTAATACAGAATAATAATAAATATTAATTAATTAATATTAATTGGCGATTAATTGATATTAATTAATTAGCAATTAATAAATATTAAATAATTAGCAATTAATAATTAATAATAATTCTACTGCTATTAGTGCGTTTAAACAACATTAATATTTTTGCATGTCAGTTAAAAAAAAGGAACATTTTACACTCTTTTGGCGAGAAATCCATTTGCTGGGAAAAGAGATAGTAAAACATACGTTTTTCGTAAAATATTGAATAAAATTTCATAAATAATTTGTATAGTTGAAGAAAATTTTATCATTAATCAAGTTCATAATGAATAACTCCTTGAGTAACTTTTGATCTAATGAACGGATTTTCACGCATCAAGATGCACTTGGTTAGGAAATCAAGTAAGCAAACGTAATTTCTCTTACTCTCCGGTTTTGGATTATTGACACTCAATATGCAAGGGAAGCTGCATTCTAAAAAATATAGTTCCAATAGTTCAGTAGTAGTTCAGAAGAACAGTCATAACAACTCTTGACAATACGTTACTATTACTGGGTAGCTCAATATAGCTCTGAAATTTGAGTGAATCACTTTATTTATCCAAATATTGTTTGAAGAGAACCTATCAAGGCAAAGTTACCCTTACATGTGGGTCATTCGATGTTTTGATTAGAAAGAATCTCCAAAGTCAAATTCGGCGTAAGGCTTCCTTTGACTAACGTATTATATAGAATAAATACGACTTTGACTAACGTATTATATAAAATAAACTTGAGAGCAGTTGAATATTTTTTTAAAGCCATATTTATGCTAAGTATTTGTTAATATGTTGGATTCTCCCTGTAAAAGTTTGGTACATAATTTATAGAATTTGAAAAAAAAAAAAAAAAAAAAAAATACATACTTTTGAGTTNAAAAAAAAAAACAAATGTAGCACCTAAAAAAAATTCATTATTGATCGCAACGCTCGAATACGCCACCTGGAGAGAAGACCGGAACAATGGCTCAACAATCCCCCCTCCCTCTCCCCTTCTCAGTTATACAGGAATGTATTTCGACATTTTCTCTTTTCTTAATATTTTTTGTATTTGTCACAAA